AATTTCTATTTTATCTTGGGAATTGACTGAGGTTTATCCGGATGTAGTCCTAGAGTTCATACTTAAAACTAATGCTGATCAGCGCCATTTTCGATGACAACACTGGCCAAAACGAGAAGCTGTCGTCTATTTTGAATGAAGGAAAAACGAAGCAAATAAGTAGGCAAACACAGCTTGTGAATTTGACGCCCGTGGTAGCCGAGTGGCCAGAGCTGTGTACTACAACTCAGTGGGACCCAGGTTTGATCCTCGTTCCGAGCAATTTTCAAAAAACAAGGAGCGCCAGTTGCTGCCTAAATTCCACAATTTTTTTCAAAGACTCCCGTTTTTGTATTAGTCTTCACACTCAACTTCGTATTCGTTTTAGTCGCTTCCTTCGTATGCGCCTTTGATTTGGTCATCATATTCTTCTTCGTACTTATCTTCGTGCTAACATTGTATCCGTCTTTGTAACCATCTTCGTATTCGTCCTCTTATTCGTATTGCCCTTCGTATTCGTGTTTGTCTTCGTATTCGGTTGCGTGTTCGAATTCACCTTGGTATACATCTTCGTATTCGGCTTCGTGTTCGTCTACCACTACCACTCTGGCACTTAACATAGTCGCCGTTGACGTGATAGGTAGAGGTACGAGGGCCTTAATTGACTTAAAATCTGGATACTCTGGTATTTTTTGAAGCCTAGACTTTATGCCTATTAGCACAGATCAGTGCGTAGTTAGACTTGCACCAATGTGCTCTTTCTCCAATCACATTCCTCTAGGAAGTAGATGTTGGAACTTCTTACATAGATGTGTCGCAGCTTGACGAAAGGTTCGGTGGAAGGCACTTTTGCCTAAAGCTTTCTTTAATCTCAAGTTCTAGCTTCCGTATCACTACCTAAATTATATGATGGCAGCATAATCTTGGCTTAGAGTTGATTCTGTGGAAACTTCTTCTAAGTTTGTTTGGACGAAAAGTATCAAGAGCATCAAAAGCGCATCAAGTTGCGATTTCGGTCAGCTAATACGTAAGTAGTAATTGAGCGAAGGGGCGTCGTCCACTCAAAGCGTTTGAGCGGTAAATTGAACCTTTGTATATAAATAAAAAAACAGATTCCGCTCAGTATCGCTATTCCATTATAAAAAAAAATAAAAAATGTCGAAAATTAATATTTTGCTACATCCAAGCGTAAATATCTCACAAACTATAGCTAATTGAAAAATTTGAAGGTCAGAACTCAGATTCAACGAAACAAATTTTTTTTTGTGAGTCGGTCGGTGTTTATTGGTTGTGCCGCAAACAGTTTTTATTCTTCACAAACAGTTTTCAAAATCTGTGTAGAAGAGTAACGCTTAAATACCAAAGTTTCTTACACATATGTATGTAGAATTTTTTGTATGGTTCAGTAAAGCTTGGGTGGCACCAATTTATTTAAAATGTAAAGATCTGTAAGAGATTACAATAAAGTAGAAAAATGAATTGTACGTGTCTTGTGTTAAAACACATGTTCGTTAAAATATATGCATGCACGTTTAAGTGAACTGCTTGAATACATTTGTACTCACATACATATGTACTAAAGGTCTGCAAATATACCAGCAGAAATACTCTTCACATGTGTACATGAGTAAATGGAACATAAATTTTAGAGTACTAAAAAAGATAGGAAGAAAAAAAGAGAACATCATAAATTTGAATAACTGAGCAATGTTACTCAACAGTGCTCTGCTACATAAAACACTGTTCCGCTTTTCCAAAACACTTGAGTATATTGATTGAATTCAGCAGTATTTGAAAACTTCATAGGAAGTATACGAATACTTATGAAGTTTTCTCTTTCAAAATGTTATCATTTAACATAATGTTAAGAAAATTCATAAATTTTATTTTCATTGTCAATTTTAATTCTTTTAATTTTAATTTAATTTGATTCGTTGAAGAAAGGGGGCTTATTTTATTGTTTCGCGCAACTAGGGTTTAGCTAACATTTTGCATTGTGTATTATTTGAA